ACCCGCTGCCCAGAGGGGTGGTGGTAAAGGTGGCTACCACGTGGGAGGTAGGGGGTATGGTTCCTCGCAAGGTGGTAGAGGTTCTCCATTCATAGGGGTTAGAGCTAGAGGTAAAAATTGGTGGTGGTCGTACCCACCACACCTGGGGATAGCCGAAGGCAGACTGTGGGAACAAATGGGTATAGACGAGAAGGTCTGGGAGAAGCTTCGAAAGGCCCACCAATGTTTCAAGTGTGGTGACCTCGACCACATTGTTTCCTTGTGTCTCAAATATAGGTACCCAAAAGGGAACAACCAACAGAGGTTGCAGTCGCCTCTACGAGGACTTTGGACTTAGACAGGAAGATAAGCGCGCGCTGAGAAGGCACCCTCCTCCTGTCCGAAGATCCCGATGGCAGAAGGGCCCCCACCTAACTAGTTGTCCAAAGGTTGTTTATGCTAGGACCTCTCTTGGTGATTCCCTCGCAAGCATTGGTATGAACTGATCACTTGTCGCCGTGCTTGGGCCGAGATGAAGAAGTCGAATGGGAAGCTAATAATAGCAGATGTAGAAGCGTGTAGAGAAAGGATAAGCGCGTTAGTAGACAGTGGGTCGACACGCAATTACATTAGTAGAAGAGGGTTGCAAAAGATGCACCTAGGAGGCTAGGAATAAAAGTGAAAAAGCTTGATGAGCCGGTTATTAGTAATAGAGAGATGATGGTATGCGAGTATGTTGAAGAGGTCAAGGCATACTTCCGGTTGGAGGCAGGGGGCAAAGTAGTGAAAAGTTTTGCATTCCCGGATACTCTTAGCGGAGGATAGCCTTCCTTTTGACATGATATCAGGAACAAACTTGGGCAATGTTGCATATGCTGACGTTAAGATGGGCGAGCACGAGTGCTGCCTCCCCAGTCCCACGGGTGGGAAAAGAAGAAGTGTTTGTTTCATGCATCCGGCATAGAAAGTAGTTTGTTCCTTTGTTGTATGACCGCCCCCTCGTTCGCCAGGCACGTGGTCGAGAATGATCTCGCTGAACAAGTGTTTGTTGCCTATGTGAGGCCGGTTAGTGAAGGGAAAAAGGAAGAAGTGCCCATACCAGCCGAAGTGCAAAGTCTGTTAGACGAGTTCGCTGATGTGGGAGAGGCCCCAAGTGGAGCTGTGGAAAGGGAGACCAAACACCGGATAGACATATAACCCGGTAGCTGGATTCCTAAGGGCCCAATCTATCGTATGTCTCCCAAGGAGCTCAATGAATTACCCATATGAGTTGATAGAGAAAGGGTGGATTGAGCCAAGTTCTTCGCCATATGGTGCACCGGTCTTGTTTGTGTCGAAGAAAGAAGGCGATCTGTGTATGTGTATAGACTATCGGGGACTCGATGCGATTACCGTTAAGAATGTAGAGCCATTACCGCGGATAGACGACCTTCTGGATAGAGTGCAGGGTTGCAATTTTTTCTCGAAGATAGACTTGAAGTCGGGTTACCGTCTGAGGTGTTGCCCGAGGATCAACACAAGACGGCCTTCAGAAGTGGATATGGTCTACGAGTTTGGGTAGAACACGTGTGGTTCGTGCATTAAGGATGAGGGCGGAAACATAGAAAGATGCATAAATAGGGCACGTCTCTTTCGCCAAATGGAGAATAAAATAAAGCTACCTTCTTCCCCTGAACATAATGGCCCATCACCATGAATGTATACAAATTGTAACAAAGTTACAAACCATACTCAGCTGCAAATACAGTTGTGATGGTGAGGGCGTTATGTTCAGGGGAAGAAGGTACTACTAATCTGCAGAGCTCCATGCCAGCGAGAAACCGGCTGATGGGTTGATGTTTCATCAAGCAAAAGAGGCCTAATAATTTTTTGTTTTTGTGAACAAGCTGCAATCAGAATCGCTCTCATTCACACTTCTCATGCATGCAAACAGGTGCGCAGCAAACTGGCGACAAGCGCCCACTCAGAACTCAGAGATATGGTAACTGAGAACATGGTTCAGATACAAGTTCACTTGAATGGCTATGGCGTCTCAGCGCCCACACAACTCTCTGTTCGCACACACAGGATCACCCTGGATATCCCACACGCGATACTCAGTACACATACACACACACACACACTCACTGAACTCTATCTACAGCTATGGCGGCTATGGCCGCTACTACCCTATCGCTATGGCTAAGCTCCTTCTCTCTCGCCCACTTCRTCCTCGGGCTCACTGCAGACCACCTCGCACAAGTCGCTTGTGGCAGCGCTTCCACATGGCTCACGCAGGAATGAATGAATGGCTGGACGCTGCCCTTTGATTTTCACTTGTAGCTCGCTGGTCTGGCCCTTCCCCATGCCCGTCGTGCACACAGTCCCATGCGGTACTTGCTTGACTGGACTAGGACTGACTAGGACCGGTACTGCTGACTGCATGGGTTTGCACTGCGAGCTGAGTACAGTTGCACTGTCGACATACTGCAGTTGGGCTCACCACTTGCCCACTTGCCCACTTGCCCACTTGCCCACTTGCCTCTGTCTAAAACGTGAGCTAGTTCGAAAAGCCACTTCTGGGACCTTCCGGAAGGCCGTGGACTTGGCCTTTCGAGACTGTAGCAGCTACGACTTCTAGACCTGACTAAGACTCCTACCCTACAGGTCTACAGATCGAACCCCTACTACCTACGGACCCTACGACAGTCTACCAACTGTTACAAATACACAGGTCACGGGTTCAACTCTAGGGGTTTGACACAGATACTGTACACAGGTAAGGTGGGGACTAGGGATCGAGCCCTGGGATCTGCATCGGCTACCGCGAACTGGTGAATACCGTTTCAAAGCGCAAACAGGCAAGGAATATGGGTCAGGTTGCTAGTTGTTTGGACTGGACCACCCAGTGTCTACAAAGGAAGATGATTGTCAATGAGAGATTGAGCACGTCACCTATCCTATTAGTGGAATCAGTAGCAGGGTGCCAGGTTTCGAGAACGGAGTTGAGGTCTAAACTCGTGGATGTGTTGCGGCTACTGAGGAGTTTTTCAGCGGACAGAGTATTTCTCTCTACCCCACACAAATCTCTCAGTCACTGCTGTTTCTCCCGACGCAGTCACAAAATATTTTGAAAACAACGGGGGTTTGGAGAGGATCCTTACAGGAGAGGGAAGCTGCAAGCAGTGTTTCTTTCTGCCAACCAATGTCATCTGTGCCCTTTCCGTTGTTTTCATTTTCTCTCAATTCGAATGACAGAAGTTTGTTTCTATTCATGTCCTCTCATTTGGGTTCAAGTACTGTTGGCTTACTCCGTACTTCACAGTCAAGATTGCTTGTAGGCCTCGCACCGCTTGCTGAGCGAAGGGGTGTTGCCCTCCTTCGACCTGGAGAGTTGAGATTACTTGTAGGCCTGTAGCATGCACAGGCCAATACTACATGCTACAGGCCTACTACACAGACCCTCGAAGGCCCGACATTCTGCACTCGGCCTCCAGGCCGCGCAGCCCTTTAGTTTGGGCGGCCTGGAGGGCCATGGACATTTTCAAGGCCTGGGCTCAGGGTCATCTTTTGTCCCAGACGATTGTTGGACATTTCACAGGGAGATTGTTCTTGACTACTTTGAGCTTTCCTTCTCGTATTCTCCCCCTCTTCCTCTTTCGTCTCTCACCATCTCCATCATCCATGGTTTTCTCCCCATGTGTGAGTGCAAGGAGGGACCTTTCTTCCATGTTGGACTTGCGCGTCTCGCCATGTGTTATGATGCCTGTGTCTGATGAGTCAGATCACGTCATTGAGTCTTCCGCTGTGCTTTTTTTTTTTTTTTTTTTTTTTTTGAAAAACACCCCCACCGGTGATAGTGGTGCTGATAAGAGCAGACACTACTACCACCTGGGGAGAGGAATGGAAAAAATTGCTGAAAATCGAACTGTGTTGCTTATATTGTTGATTCTCTGGATCCGTGTTGATCACATTTGCTAATCCCGAGTCCTTCATTTCAGTTCATTGGTGATCTTTTGGATCTGCTCATCACCTATCTGTCGATAGGCATGCATCAAGACCTGACAACCCCTGGAGCAAAGGAAGTGTTTGCAACAAACTCCTAAGTGCTATGAACCTGCTTTCCTTCCAGCTCGCAATACACATCGCTTTCCCACCTGCACAAAGCGACTTGTGCCATACCCCCCTCATGTGGCTGAATGGTACACACATGAGTTTGATGCCCTTTTTTTCTTTTTTTTTTGAAAAAAAACTTCGCCGCAGGAGGAACACTTGTCAGGGTGATAAGAGCAGCCCTGGGGCCAAGTCCCACTAGCAACGGTGAGTTTCCAACTTTCCGCAATGACTGAATCTGGACGTGTTTGTGGAGATGTGCCGAAATCGCGTTGAGTTTCCTCAACCGCACATAGCCACAAACACGTCCAGATTCAGGCGTTGAGGAAACTCGACGTTGCTAGTGGGACGTGGCCCCTGGTATGCCAGCTGATCAACCGATTTAGAAGCGAGTTAGTTAGAATGGTTTCTTACAAACAGTTCCAATGGGCGCTTTTATCGAGCAGTGACAGCTGTTGTAATGACGTGAATGATGAACCTCATTGTTACCTCGAGATATTGAATATCCGTGAACATGATAGCTCCCCACCAATGGACTGGAGCCCCCTGCAAGACAGGGAGTGCATGTGCTTACCTTCACTCCTATCTGTTGCCACAGGCGGACTTTTTTTAACATAATAAAAATATTAAAAATGGTAGGGGGTACTTTTATAAAAAAAGAAAACAAAGCACGGCAACATGTGACTGGGGCCATGATCCAACGACCAATGCTGTTGAGGGTGTGCTTGCCACAGGTTTTTTTGTTTTTTTTTTTGATGGGGGGGGGGTGTGTAATTTGGACCATTTCTCTATTTATGTGTGGTATCCTTGCACAGGGGTCATGCTAATCTTGTCTGTATCGTTCCAGCTTTAACGAGTGTCACGAGGGATTGTGTGCTTGGCACATGTATTCATTGAATAATTTGATGTTCAATCTTAATTGGCTGCAGGGGCTTGTGATAAGAACAAAGAGTGCCGAGTTTCTGCCGATCACGCTCATCTTGTATATGGGAGCGAATGGCTTAATGTGGCTGTTGTATGCAATCACCATCAAGGACATATATGTGTTTGTAAGTATATACGAATCCCTTTCTAAAAATCAACGTCTTAAATTGTCTTTGTAAAACCTGAAGACTGCAGCTGGTGAAGTATATACTATATATTATTTTGCGAGTGAGGAGTCTCTGTAAAACCCGAAGACTGCAACTGGTTAAGAACTTGAGAATATATTATTCTGCTCAGACCAAGAACAGGAAGACGTGATACATTCCCTAATTAACTGTAAAGAAGCCACAGATTATCGGGCAAGAGCAGCAGCACTATGGGATAGACTGTTCTCATCTCCCCTCCCAGAGCACCCCCTTCAACTGCTCCTTTGGACTAATTTACCCTCTAACTTCGGCCAATCAGAGAAAATATGGTTCGGGATGCTACGCAAGGTCATGCTATGGGCCATACAGAAGGAAAGATGCAGCAGAACTCAGGACGGCACGAAGAACCCACGGGAGAAAGTGTGGGCAGCAACCAAAGGGATGATTGAAGCGGAAATCCTCTGTCATTGGAGAAAAGTAAAACTCTGGGTGCAGAACAATCCAGAGACAGAACAGGTAACACTGGCTGAATTCAAGCGGATCTGGTTGGTAGGTGACGAAGTGGACTGGCTGATTGGGCACGTTTCACGATGGAAAGAATGGCATAATTCGGTCAAGTTGGTATCCCAGCAGAACACCCAGGTACTTGAGGAACCAGCCCCAATCTGGGCCTAGAAGAGCACCCAAGATAYATGCGCGACAGGCGGCAGCCGATGTTTCACATGGAACACATGGAAGAGGATCAACCTTCTTTAGGGTTTAGGGTTTAGGGTTTAGGGCTGACGGTTTGGACAGAAACAAGACAGCAGGGGTTAGAATGCTAAGGATTTCACGACGCTTGTTTGCGGGGCTTAGGGTTTAGACAGCATGGCAGCAGTTGTAGCTTCTCAGACCTTTCTTGTTTTGCATGTTTTATCTGACAGGTTCTAATAGTTGTCCTGTGAGGAAAGGTGCAAGCAGGGCAAGCTGACAGTCAATCCTCCACGTCGCTGGAGTAACAATGCTGATCAGGGTTCCTCCGGCCAGACGGAAGGAAGCGTGTGGGTGTTCTATGTTGTAATGTTTTCCTGACTTGCCAGTGGAATAGGAATATATATTATTCTGCGAGTGAGGAGTGAACCCAGTCTTTATTGTATTCCACGGGAAGCTGGACCCGGTTTCCAGAAGGTGCTGCTCCCCAACAATAGAATGGAGCTACCATAAGTAGGTCTACTAGGGGAGGCTGCTCATATCACTCCCCCTAGTTGGCCGAAATTGGTCCCTTTTTTTCCCCCCAAAAGAGTGAACCCAGCCAGCAAACCCACATGTTGGAGAATCTTGTGAGCATCCAATGAACAAAAACAAAAAAAAGAATGCACACGTCTGTAATCAGAAGAGCATAAGTAATTAATAACGTTATTGCAGCCTTGTAATAAACCGCTCGAAATATGCTATTGTCGTCGGCCAGGGGTCGTCATTTCGGTCTTAGGGCCAAATCAGGGCCCCATGGCCACAGCAGGCCACAGCGACAGCCTGAACCGAGGCCCAGTGCTGTATGCACCCAACGGAGGCTTGAAAACGGGGCTTCAGAGGCCCTGCGGCCCGATAGTTGACTAAAGAAAGTCAACAGTCAACTGTAACTCGGAAATTGAGGCTCACGAGTCAAAGTCTACATGGACCCAGTCCAGGCCATCGATCAGATATACACATTTGGCTGTTTGCAGGTATCTGTGCAGAGTTTGTTCCAAGTGGAAGTCTGCAACTGTATGAAATCAAGGCCATTGACTGCGGGTCAATCTGAGCCCTCATATCCGAGAGACCAGAGGCTGGTCAATCTACGTCAACACTACATATTGACCCAGCCCCTGCTCGTTGACATTCGGTCCTGCACTTGCTGCTCGACGGTGGCATGACACAGGCACGACTCTGGTTGGATGCTGGCACTACACTGGCATTGTGTGTGACGACGATGCGAGACTGCTGCATTGTGTTGCCGGCGCCTCTCTGTTCTCCGCGCCAACTGGGGACTTGATTGCTGACGTGGCGCTTGCCAAATTGACTTCGACACAGATTGGGGTATCGATGAGGAGGGAGATCAGGGCTGTGAGATTGGTTGTGAGAGAGAGAGAAGCTTACCTGATTATTGTTGTCAACATTGTGCGCTGCTGTGACGTCTTCATGGGAGATCTGTGCCCACGTGGCACTATGTTCTGATCGGTTCTCGCCAGGCTCGTCTTTGGGATACTGACCGCTGACATGGACAGAGGGGAGATGCCCAAAGGAGGAGCAGGACGTGAGGGAGATCTACCTTCGATGATATTGATGGATGGATACTCTCTTCCATTTTTCTCCCTCCTATCAGCTTTGTCCTTGGTTACAAGACATTGTACTTCGGATCACATTTATGATTATTGGAGACATTGACTTGCGCTGAGACAGATGGAGCCTCCCCGAGAGTGCTAGCGGTGCCTGCCTGCAGCACCTCTAGCATTAACTTGACGAGTTTCTCTCCTGATTGGGCTCATTGCAGCCTCCTTTGCAGTGGTATAAATCAGCGATATGGACGAAGGCGGCGGTGAGAGCGCTGAAATGATAGCTGACTGCACTATTGTGGAGAGGAAACAGTGAATGCCAAAATGTTATCAGCAGAGTGGCTTGGAACTCGATCAGACAGCAAAGTACCGAGGGGGGCTTAGGCATATTACACCCGACTCTCCAAGCCACCGCTCTCGCCATCCAGTAGATAAATCCATGGTGGGCCCTGGCATTGGAACAGAGTGCATCTGACCCCGGACCACGCCCGACATTGACCCCCTGACCTGGCTGGAGAACCGCTATTTCACGGGGCTCCACTTCACAGGAAGAGGGTGACAAGGGGGCTGCTAGATCTGGGAAAGGACGATTTTTGGGTACGGGCCCTACAAGCCTGGAGACAGCTCCCGCTCCCTAACAAAGCATCCCCTGAAAGGTGGGAGGAGGTCATCAGGCAATCCCTGTTTGGTAATAGAAACATTACTGATCCAAATGGCCCGAGTATTCCAGAGTTCAGCCCCCCCACTCGAACAGCTGGGCCAAACGAGGGGTGCTACGAATAAAAGGTATCTGGGATGGGGCAACAGCTGAGACAGATTTTGAAGTACTGCCACAATCCGGAAAAGAACCTGAATCGGATCGCCTTCTGAGTAACACTGCACTGGGTGCGCATCCTGCGCAAAGGATCGCGGCTCTGGGAAGGGAGTGGGTGGCAGTTAGGGAGGAGCCGGATAGGGTGCGGAACGTGCTGGAAGTAAGAGAGGAGGCAGTATTGATCAATCTGTTTCATAAGGATAATGGGAATGAGCTCACCAGACTCTCACAACTTTTCAGAATAAGGTTTTTGTCTAGTAAAGAAACCTGGGTAGCCGTCCTTCCGGGCACTCCGCTGTCAGGCTCGCCCTTTGACCCGGAAGAGTGGCAGTGGCCCACCTCACAAAAGAACCAGAAAAACAAAACCATTCACCTAGCCGGTCTGGAGGTAAGGACCGCCTATAAGATGCTGCACCCTAGAATAAACCTCAAGGACATCGTAAGGAAGTGATGGATGACGCAGCTGGTGACGCAGCTGAATGTCGGGAGGGAAGTCATCCGGCTCATTCGCTGGTTTACAGCGACCAGGACCAGACCGGCTAAATTGGCCTTGCTCCAGTGGCAGATAGACCATCGCTGCCTCCCCATCAACGACTGGCTGCTTGACCGTACAAACCCAGAACAGAGGGGGATGGCAGTCCCATGGTGGAAGTACTGTCAAAACAGCTTTCCTTCCCACAAGATCCCAGAGACCATTGAACACATGTTTCTGCAGTGCCCAGGCGCAGTCCTCACGTGGCGCTGGTGGGACTGCATATGGCGCCAGTTAGGCACCAGCGCATCATGGGAATGGAGAGCACTCCTGTGCGGAACTTGGCACTGCCCGCAGGATAGCGCCTCTGAGGAAAACATGTTTAAGCTAGGAAGGAGGGCGGTCATCTGGGCTCTGTGGCTGAAACGATGTGTGTATGCCCTGGAGGGGGCACGGATGAATGGCAAGAAATTATTCCGAGACGATAAAGCAACAATTACAGATAGACCTCACTAAGCAATAGTCAACGGTGAAGTCACAACTGGATCTTTTCTTTTTCTTTTTTTTTTTTTTGCATAAAACAGGTCCTTATGGTCCTGGCTCCTCTTCCATTCTGGGGAGCGTCAGTCCGGTTCGTATTCCCCCCGGCAAGTCAAGATTGGAATACATAGAGTACACGCTCACACGTCCTTCCGTATGGCCGAAGGATCCCTGACCAGCATTAATTACTGCTGTGTAGGAGGGTTGACTGTCAGCTTGCCCTATCCTCTTGTTCCTCTCAGGCTCCAATTCAGGGCCTGTCAAATAGACAATGCAAAACAAGAAAAGTGAGAGGTTCAGCTTCCATTCGAACTCGTATGTCTTTCCCACACCTTTCACATCAGACTGCTCGTTTTTGTGCTTGTCATACCGTTCCTCCTCCATTGATTTCATGGCGTTCCGTTGCCGTGTGGCTAAGCCTGATGCCACTTCTTCCATATGAGCCTGTTGTCCGTTATGGTGGCAACCTTGCCCCTCAACCACCGGACCCTCAGGAATGCACGTTGTTCGACTGCGTGCTTTTCTGGTATGTGCTTCATGGATGAAGATATCTTTCGCCATCTGCTCCGAATTTCGGTCTCTGCCATGTTTATCAGGAGAGTCCACATTTCCTCCCTAGGTATCTCTGTTCTCTCGATTGTCCGTGTGCATCTGCGTTTCCACATGACCAGAGGGCCAGTTTTCTGAGTAGAGTGAACCAGACTTCCCTGCCATCCTTGAGGTTCCTGGGAGTGTCAGCAAGGAGTAGGGTAGTTAGCGGGGAGGTGCTGGAGGGTGGTGTGGAAACGAGGATGGACCATAGGTCCAGAACTTTGTTTGAGATCAAGATCGCTTCAGGATAGAAGAGAAGGCAATGAGGGAT